CCAGGTCGTCTCGGTCTTGATGCCGTTTGGACTCGGTCTTGTCTTGGACTCGAGCATATTTGGACTCGGTCTTGTCTTGGACTCGAGCATATTTGGACTCGGTCTTGTCTTGGACTCGAGCATATTTGGACTCGGTCTTGTCTTGGACTCGAGCATATTTGGACTCGGTCTTGTCTTGGACTCGAGCATATTTGGACTCGGTCTTGTCTTGGACTACAGCGTATTTGGACTCAGTCTTGTCTCTGTCTTGATGCCGTTTGGTCTCGGTCTTGTCTTGGACTCGAGCTTATTTGGACTCGGTCTTGTGTTGGACTCGAGCATATTTGGACAAGGTATTGTCTCGATCTTGATGCCGTTTGGACTCGGTCTTGTCTTGGACTCAAGTGGATTTGGTCTCGGTCTTGTCTTGGACTCGAGCATATTTGGACTCGAGCATATTTGGACTCGGTCTTGTCTTGGACTCGAGCATATTTGGACTCCGTCTTGTCTCGGTCTTGATGCCGTTTGGACTCGGTCTTGTCTTGGACTCAAGTGGATTTGGTCTCGGTCTTGTCTTGGACTCGAGCATATTTGGACTCGAGCATATTTGGACTCGGTCTTGTCTTGGACTCGAGCATATTTGGACTAGGTATTGTCTCGGTCTTGATGCCGTTTGGTCTCGGTCTTGTCTTGGACTTGAGCATATTTGGACTAGGTCTTGTCTTGGACTCGAGCATATTTGGACCAGGTTGTCTCGGTCTTCATGCTGTTTGGACTCGGTCTTGTCTTGGACTCAAGCGGATTTGGACTCGGTCTTGTCTCGATCTTGATGCCGTTTGGTCTCTGTCTTGTCTTGGACTCGAGTGTATTTGGACTCGGACTTGTCCCGGTCTTGTCTTGGACTTGACCGCATTTGGACTCGGTCTTGTCTCGGTCTTTATGGTGCTTAGTCTCAGTCTTGTCTTGGTCTTATACTCGGGAGCGACTTACAGACCGAAAAATATGGTATTTACTTGTGACTACTTTAAATCTGTTTGTTGGTTTGACTGAAGTGCTGAAAAATTGAATAATCTCTGCGCACAAGAGCACCCGGCATCACTACTTCCTGTCCAATTTTACCTCTGTGCGTTTTTACTGAGTCCTGCGAAAATGAATAAATATTTAAAAATAAGGCAGTGAACAGGGAGCTGCGGGTGGAAGTGAAAACCTGTTAAAAAGTACACAAATAAAATGAATACTTCACTGGAGATTTTTGTGTCTCAATGCTGATGCCATTGCAAATTTCAAGGCAAAATAAATATTAAAACAAAACCACAAACTCAAGTGTTCTAGTATTTAATTAATTAGAATTTTAAAAGGTTGTTTATTTAATATTTTTAAATTGTAATAAAAGTGGCTGTTAGGTTTGCTTTGCTGTCTATTTGCTTTGGGATGAATAAAGTATATCCATCTATTTTTCTGTTTATCTAAAGAAGATGACTTTTTTTTTTTTCTACGTGGAGAAAACTCACAAATGTAAGTCATGATTCTACAGTTTGTTCATTTGAAACTACAATATTGACCTAGATTCCAAAAAGGACTGAGTAACAGAGACAGGTCCACAGGTGTTGTAGTATTCGAGACTGGTCTTGGTCTCGAGACCGTTTTTTTAAGTGCATTTGGACTCGGTCTTGTCTCGGTCTTCATGGCGCTTGGTCTCGGTCTTGTCTTGGACTCAAGCATATTTGGACTCGGTCTTGTCTCGGTCTTCATGGCGTTTGGTCTTGGTCTTGTCTTGGACTCGAGCATATTTGGTCTCGGTCTTGTCTCGGTCTTGATGGCGTTTGGTCTCGGTCTTGTCTTGGACTCGGTCTTGTCTTGGACTCGAGCGTATTTTGACTCAGGCTTGTTTCAGTCTTGATGGTGTTTGGTCTTGGTCTTGTCTTGGACTCAAGCATATTTGGACTCTGTCTTGTCTCGGTCTTGATGGCGTTTGGTCTCGGTCTTGTCTTGGACTCGATCTTGTCTTGGACTCGAGCATATTTGGACTCAGTCTTGTCTCAGTCTTGATGGTGTTTGGTCTCGGTCTTGTCTTGGATTTGAGTGCATTTGGACTCGGTCTTGTCTTGGTCTTAATGGCGTTTGGACTTGGTCTTGTCTTGGACTCGGTCTTGTCTCAGTCTTAATGGCACTTGGTCTCTGTGTTGTCATGGACTCGACCGTATTTGGACTCAGTCTTGTCTCGGTCTTGATGGCGTTTGGTCTCGGTCTTGTCTTGGACTCGGCCTTGTCTCGGTCTTGATGGAGTTTGGTCTCGGCCTTTTCTCTGACTCGAGGTCTAATACTCGACGAGTGTGATCATATTTCATTACGGCCAGTAAATGTGCAGAGGCTGAATATCACTGCAAAACCTGTAAGAAAATGTAAATCTTATGAAGTTCACTTTGAATTTATTTTCTGTAAAGTGGCAGTGAAAGTGGGATTAAAGAAGGGGTTCTCAAACTGTGGGTTAAGGTCCAGAAAAGGGGCCTGGAGTGTTTCAGTGCAGCACAGTTTGTTTGGCCTATTTTAAGCCTAAATTAACATTAACCAGATCAAACGGAGATAGATTTATTTAAAAAAAAAAGTGCCAAAATAACTGTAAAATACAAATAAATGTCGAAAATAACAAAGATGGGCTTGATTTGGTCTCAGTGGGCCGTGGTCTCGGTCTCATTTTCGACCTTTAAAAGTCTCTGTCTTGGTCTTGGTCTTGTCCTGGTCTCGGGACCCTGTGGTCTTGTCCTGGTCTTGACTCGATTAGCGCGGTCTTGATTACAACATTAAGGTCCACTGACTTCTAATAATACAATGCACTGGATTTCTACTGCACCTTTTAAGACACTCAAAGTAATTTACATTGCACCTTTCATTCATGCCTCAGTTGGTGGTGGTAAAAGACTGTTAATCGCCACAGCTGCCCTGGGACAGACTGATGAAAGTGAGGCTGCAACCAACCATAGTAGTAACAGTAGGTCAAAATGGGTGAAGTGTCTTGCTTAAGGCCCTGTCACACCTTGACGATTTAGAAAATGTATGCCGCCGTACCAGAATCTCCCTAAAACACTGGCATACATCAATTTTGGGCGTATACATAGCGCATTCATAACGAGTTGGACATATACATAACGCTTTAGTAACTTATATAGAACGTTTTGATAACTTACAGATAACTTACACCAACTAATGCTTAACGTGTTGCCAGCGTCCCCGACTTATGCCAAACGACAGTCTAACCCACAGGTGTCAAACATAAGGCCCGGGGGCCAGATCCGGCCCTCCAAGACCTTTAATCTGGCCCTTGGCTGATTTTCAACTTAAATATTTAAATTAAAATATTGGTAATTTTCTGTGGTGTTTATCACAGCAGCGTCTCTAGTGTCTCTGTACGTGGCCCCTCCCACCAGAGCAGCACAAATGAAGACTTGTCTCTTTCCAAACGCTCTTAAAAGACGATCGTTTTGACTGTTGACCGTGACACCCTCATCAACAAAATTTGCACAAGTTCATGTTAAAACATTGTGTTGAAATTGCAATTTTCTTAAAGTTTCAGGTTGTTCATAATCTTATAATATTTTGTAAAAGAAAGAGTTCATCAATTAAAAAGATTCCTGTAATAGATTTGTGTTTCTCTGCACAAATATTTGAACTTATTGTTATTTTTGGGGTTTATATGTCATGAGTTTTCTGATCCGGCCCCTTTGGGATCAAAGTAGGTTGGATATGGCCCCCGGACCAAAATGAGTTTGACACCCCTGGTCTAACCTATGCATAGCGCACGGCAGCTTATCGCCGACGATCACGTCTCGTCGCCTATTAAAAGGCTATAAAACGCCATTATACGGTAGCTACAAGTTAGAAACACGTTCAGTAGGGGTGAGCAAAAATATTGAAATATCGATATCGTATTGCTTAATGTGATGATACAGTATTGATATCGTGGGCTGCTGTATCGATATATCACCAAGAGTACTTTTTGGTATATTTTACTAAATTATTTTGTTAAAGAGCTACAGTTTTGTTGCTTGTTTAGAGGAAGGAAACTTTTTTATGCGACACATTTGACATTTTCACTGTTTTGATGAATTAAATGTTTATTGGTTCATATGAACTTTGCACAAAAAGTGGTTTAACAAAGACTTTTAGTATCACAGACATGATTTAGCCTTTATTTTTATTGAACTGTATCGAATTGATTTGAAATATATCATATTGAATCGAAAGCTCACTGTATCGTATCGTGGCCTATGTATCAAGATATGTATCGTATTGGCAACTTCTCAATGATACCCAGCCCTAACGTTCAGTAAGTTCTGCGGTCGTCTGGAACATGTCAAATACGTCTGTGTTGGAGATAAGTTCGATATAAGTGACACACAGGTTCAAAACACGTTGCTCATAAGTCATGTGTATGCTACACATTTTCTCAACGTATTTGGACTTATGAGAAACTTACAATTAACGTGCGTCAACGATCGCATAACTTACCTACAGCTTATGGCCCGCGTATGCAGGACGTATAAACATACGCTGACATACGACGCGAAATTTTCAGCATGCTCAAAATTTTTCGACGACCTTGCCGTATGTCGCCGTATGCCAGCGTGCTTCAGCTGCTCAGAACTTATACAGTACTTACCTAGAACTTATCCGACGTGCGCCAGTGTATTTGCCAAACTTTTCATACGTCGCCATACGCTGGGTAAATCCTCAAGGTGTGACAGCGGTTTTATGGACACAGCAGGAGTTTTCAGAGCCACTGCTGTCCCACTGCGGCACATTTTTGAACATTTTAGAACTTTGAGTAACCAAAGGAAAACCATTATACATGCTTAAAAGTACAATTTGCATTTTATGTCTCCTTTAAGAAAAAAATATAGTCTGATATTTTCCATTTCTGCCTCCAATGTTCAGCTCATTTTTAATCATCTTTAAAATCATAACCATCAGTCACGTTATATTAAATCGTAAATGTTTAATGTTTTAACTTTCTCTCTCTCCAGGTTTCCTCCACTATTCCGACCTCTCCAGGGGGATGAGAGCTGACGAGGCCCGGGCCGTGGAGGCTCTGATCGGGGAGACGGTCTGGAGTGTGGCCCCAAACGCTCTGGTGACTCTGACCGGAGGCTTCCGCAGGTACAGGCCAATGTCCACTCAGCAAATACACGACTCACTGAGAATACTGTGGTGTAGTGTGTTTAATGTTCTCCCACAAACCAGAGGGTAACATGTTTGAACCTCACCTGTGGATGGAGTAAAAAAAAACAAAAAAACATCAGATATTTGCTCTGGGAGGGTCTTCATTTGCGCCATTTACAATCCATTTTTTGAACCTTTTTCAGTTGCTTTCAGTTAATATTCAAACCAAATAATAATCCATATTTTTTAATAACAATAACATAAATAAATCCAAATCCAACCCCCCCCCCACGTTCCAAATAGGGATGTCCCAATCACATTTTTTTGCCCCCGAGTCTGAGTCATTTGATTTTGAGTATCTCCCGATACCGAGTCCCGATCCGATACTTCTGTAAAAATTATGAAATGAACTAAGAGCAAAGAATAAGATCCAGGATGTGTGCGGGATCAGATTGTGTTGATTTCAATGTGTATTTGGGCTGAACTTGTGAAAAATCAAATGTCCAAAACTTTAATTTGATTCACTTTTCTAACCATGAACCATCATTGTTGAAAATCTTGACTTTTACCCCAGTCTGGTCTTGGAATGTGTAACTTAGTAAACTTAATGAACTGGACAAAACAGGAACCAGACCAGAACCAGATCAGACCTGAGACTCTGCACAATCTACACTTTGTATATTTGATATTATATGGAAACAGGTGCATTATATTTGAAACATTTAGGTAAGTCTGTGAAATCCAATCCGAAGTCCGCAGTCACGTGATCGGCGCCGATTTCCGATCACATGATCAGATCGGGACAACCCTAGTCCCAACAACCCCCACAGTGGAGTATTTGAAGTCTCGTCTTAGGACCCACTTTTATTCTTTTAAGAGATGAGATGCGTGGTCCTCTGTATCTTTTATTTAATTAAAAAAATAAAATAATAAAATAATAATAATAATATAAATATTTTTTTTATTTTATGAATTTATTTTATTTTATGTATTTATTTATTTTTATGTATTTATTTATTATTATTTGTTTAATTTCAATCATTTAAAAAAAAAATTATTTATTGTTTTATTTATTTACTGTCTTTTATTGTATTAATTTGTGCAGCACTTTGGAAACTGTCATGTTTTTTAAATGCGTTATATAAATAAAATGGTTGGACTGGATTTCCATTGACATCATAAGGTGGAACAGAGTATTTCCGCTTTGAGACTCAGCCTAAATATGAAGCGTTTGTGCGTTAACCTCCTAGGACCGGGCGTACAACACATTTTGGGTTGTTCAAGTACTTAATGAATAGTTTTTGCAAATCATTATTCAATTGTGACTTTATTGTGTTCCATCAAAATGATTAAAACATAAAAATAATGTTGTATGTGGACATAATTCTTCACAGAAACTCCTTGTAACATGTAAAAATATACTTCTTTGTTGTTCACGTCAGCCCAAATAACAAAGAGAAATCAATAAAGCCGCAAGAGTTCAGGTCCTCGGAGGTTAAACATGTGAACGAAACAAAAAAAAAAAAAAAACTCCAGGTATGTTTTTGATGAGGAAAGAACATTGCAACATGATCAGAAAATAGTCATATTTTATAGTAATCTGGGACTTTTATAACCTTAGAGGAAATGGAAATGCTTATATTGACAAGTAGGAGAACAATTCCAGCTATACACCAAATCTATAGGCGAAACAATTATAATATACATTAAGTAAGTGTGTGGGCAGATGCATTAGTGCGGCTGAGTGCGTCCTCGGGCGTTTTAATTTAAAAACAGCATAATTTGAAACGACACATGAGGAGGAGCGCCTGTTACTGCCGATATGTTTACACGTCATTTATGTCACATCCATTTGTCCACATAAAGAAAGATAAGACACTTCATCTTCAGCTGTTTACAGGCTGGATAAGGACGTGATGTTCACACTCACACAAAGTGTTGGGAGTAACAGATTACATGTACCAGAGTTATGGAATCAGAGTACAAATTATGAGTAACTGTATTCGGTTACAGTTACTGTTTCAATGAGTGGTAATTGGATTACAGTTACTTTGTTGAAATAAATGGATTACACGGGGGTATTTTCCTGTTTTCACATTTTGGGCTAAATCCCTTTTTTTTCCCCCCCCCCCCATAATTCCACTCATTGCCAAACACTAAACCAAGTCTAAAACCAATTCTAAATCAGGACTAAAACCAGGTCTAAACTAGATCTAAACCTGGACTAAACCAGGATTAAACCAGGTCTAAACCTGGACTAAAACCAGGACTAAACCAGGACTAAAACCAGGTCTAAACTAGATCTAAACCAGGAATCCAGGTAAACCAAAAACCGGACTAAACCAGGACTAAAACCAGGAAACTAGATCTAAACCAGGATCTTAATCAGGATAAAACAGGACTAAACCAGGAGTAAACCAAGTCTAAACCAGAACTAAAACCAGGTTTAAACTAGATCTAAACCAGGTCTAAACCAGGACTAAACCAGGTCTAAACCAGGACTAAACCAGGTCTTAACCAGGACTAAACCAGGACTAAAACCAGGTCTAATCTAGATCTAAACCAGGTCTTAATCAGGACAAAACCAGGACTAAACCAGGAGTAAAACCAAGTCTAAACCAGAACTAAAACCAGGTCTAAACTAGATCTAAACCAGGTCTAAACCAGGACTAAACCAGGACTAAAACCAGGTCTAAACTAGATCTAAACCAGGTCTTAATCAGGACTAAACCAGGACTAAACCAGGAGTAAAACCAAGTCTAAACCAGAACTAAAACCAGGTCTAAACTAGATCTAAACCAGGTCTAAACCAGGACTAAACCAGGTCTAAACCAGGACTAAACCAGGTCTAAACCAGGTCTAACTAAAAACCAAGTCTAAACCAGAATCTAAAACCAGGTCTAAACCAGGTAAACCAGGATCTAAACCAGGTCTAAACCAGGACTAAACCAGGTTCTAAACCAGGACTAAAACCAGGTCTAAACCAGGACTAAAACCAGGTCTAAACCAGGTCTAAAACCAGGACTAAACCAAGACTAAAAGTGTGACTCCTCGTCTTCTATCAATAATATTTTTAATTTGGTTCAGTAAAGTTTGGGCTTTTTATTTTCTTTTAACAGACAAAACATCTCATGTTACGATATCCTCATCTTTGCTTCTCTACAGCAAATCAAGTAATCAAAGTATTCAGATTACATTTCTCACTTTAAGTAATTTAATGGATTATGTTACAAACTACATTCTGTGGTATGTAATCTGTAATCTGTAGGGGATTACATTTTAAAAGTCACCTTCCCAACACTGCTCACATGTACGTACTGTGTTTGCGTGTATCAGGGTGCGCTGTTAAAGCTGCATTGTGTAACTTTTCTGATGGAGGTCCGGACACCTAACCTGATTCATCAACCGGTTTAACTTCGGTTCACTTCGTAGAAACCGTCTGACCTCACAGCATTAGGATTCGTTCGCTCAGTGTCAGGCAGGTCATTTTTTATTTAACCAATCGCTGCTGTTTGGTCGTGACATATGTAATGCGCCGTTGGAAGAAGGGCAATAACGTCTTTCCCCTTGATGAAATTCACCAAACATTCTCTTTGTTCTGCCTTTAAATCCTCGATCTCGGGAATCAGAATATGTGGCTCTTCGCTGACTGGCCGGTGCCCGGACTCGCACTTTTGAGGTTTTTGCGAACCGTCTAGTGCACAGGTGTCAAACATAAGGCCCAGGGGCCAGATCCGGCCCTCCAAGACCTTTAATGTGGCCCTTGGGTGATTTTCTACTAAAATATTTTAATTATATTTACTATTAAAATATTGGTAATTTTTTGCTCCACTCAGCATAGCAGCGTCTCCAGCGCCTCTGTACGTGGCCCCTCCCACCAGAGCAGCACAAATGAAGACTTGTCTCTTTCCAAACGCTCTTAAAGGACGATCGTTTTGACTGTTGACCGTGACACCCTCATCAGAAAAATGTCCAAAATGAGAAAAGTGGAGCCGAGTGCAGGATTTTACAAGGAAAATGGACTTATTCCTGTTTGCATACAAGTTCATGTTAAAACATTGTGTTGACATTGAATTTTTCTTAAAGTTTCAGTTTGTTCATAATATTATAATATTTTGTAAAAGAAAGAGTTCATCCATTAAAAAAGATTTCTGTAATAAATTTGCGTTTCTCTGCACAAATATTTGAACTTATTGTTATTTTTGAGGTTTATATGACGTGAGTCATATCCACTTTATTTCTAGAGACATTTCATAAACAAAACAGTTTTCCAAAGTGCTGCACAATACAAATAAAACATCCAATAGAAAATATAAAATAAAACTCCACTTAACTCCACTAGTCCTCGTTAAGACAATAAAACTAGTCAAGTCAAATAAGAGCAAGAATGTTCCACAGTGAGGTAATTCAACTTATCCATCTCCATGGAGACACGCGGGTATTTACTATGAAGTAAGCGTGAAGTGGTGATCCTAGTCACAGTAAGAATCCATGTTTTTTAAGGTATTGTAATAAAGACACCAGTAATGCTGTATATTTGTTTAATGCCGTACTGTGGGACTAATAGACAGGTATATTTTTATAAGAAACACAGTTTAAGGCCACTTATGTACAGTATAACCTCTTTATATCATCAAATATAGAAATACTTGGTCAGCTTAATATTTAACAGTTAAAAATAAATTTCCTTGGTCATTCATATGAACAGTCTGTGTTTTACTGTAGTTTCCTCACCACAAACAGACCTGGAGTTCGAGTCCAGTGAGGTTCATTTAGTTTTCCAAGAATTTATGTTAACTTAATTAATTTATGTTATGTTTATGTAATTAATAAAACACACATCGGGGAAACAGGGAGGGTGTTCAGTGCACTAAAAATGAAACATAGGACAGAATGTAAGAAGGAAACAGAGGAACAAAACACAAAGCAGAACAGGAACAACTCGAATCAGCTTTTTGACCAGTGTAAAAGAGAGAAGCACATTCTGGACCGGGATG